GTCCTCAAGTCCTTTCTCTATACCTGCGTCTTTATTCCTGTCCTGCCCCTAGGTTCTTCAGAACCATTTTTTTAGATTCCATATATATATGTTAGCATACAGCATTTGTTTTTCTCTTTCTGACTTACTTTACTCTGTATGACAGTCTCTAGGTCCATCCACCTCACTACAAATAACTCAATTTCTTTTCTTTTTATGGCTGAGTAATATTCCATTGTATATATGTGCCACATCTTCTTTATCCATTCATCTGTCAGTGGACACTTAGGTTGCTTCCATGTCCTGGCTATTGTAAACAAAGCTGCAATGAACATTGTGGTACATGACTCTTTTTGAATTATGGTTTTCTCAGGGTATATTCCCGGTAGTGGGATTGCTGGGTCATATTCACTTCCTCATTCTTGCTCACCTGAATGAGAACCCAAGTGACACGAGTGATGTTTCTTACCATGTGGCCTAAGGGATGGTACAGCAGCAAGACAGAAGGAACCTGAGTTTCTGACACCATGGAACCACCATATCAGTTAGTGGCTCCATTGTGTTAAATTACTCCCTTTAAAAGACTCTTAACTGAAGATGCAGTAGCCTTGGTATTTCAGAATTCATCACAGCAGATTTACGAGAAGGGACATATACAAAGAATGATGTCAACATATATATATTCTTTAAATTTTATTTACTTATTTATTTATGACTGTGTTGGGTCTTCGTTGCTGCGCACGGGCTTTCTCTAGTGGCAGTGAGCGGGGGCTACTCTTCGTTGGGGTGCGCGGGCCTCTCATTGCAGTGGCTTCTTTTGTTGCGGAGCACAGGCTCTAGGCGCGCAGGCTTCAGTAGTTGTGGCTCGCAGGCTCAGTAGTTGTGGTGCATGGGCTTAGTTGCTCCGTGGCATGTGGGATCTTCCCCGACCAGGGCTCAAACCCATGTCCCCTGCACTGGCAGGCGGATTCTTAACCACTGCGCCACCAGGGAAGCCCCAATGTCAACATATTTTAAAGGAAATACTTAAAAGGCACAACGTACGACATATACATTAATAATACAAGAATTATCTGATCACAAAAAGCACATGATACCTTTCTACAGTTTGAAACTGACTGATAAGCACTTTAAACTTTGCATATATTTGGAAATTCTCACAAGTGATTCTTCATTTTGTTGGCTTTTAGAGGGAGTGAGGGGTTGAAGTAGAGAATCAATGTAAGTAATTAGGTTACTTCCCATGTTAATAATGGGAATAATGAGAAAGAAGAAAAAGAACTACTGATCTAGAAATTAGACACAGATTTAGTCTGTGCTGTTTGTTTTGGCTATTATTTAAAGCTTTAACTATGAGTATTTTTTTTCAGTCACGGAAAAGGAACTTCAGTACAATTTTAATTGAATTCTTAGCTATCACAATTAAGTATAAGAAAATACATTCATTAGATTATTCAAGACTAAAGGTATACAACTGATTTCTATATATCTTAATGACTCACATTAAATAATAGAATAACATAAAAACTCCAAATCTAACTTTAAAAAAATATAATCTGTATTTTAAAAACAATCTCCAAATTATTTCTTTACTAGAAATTTGGAAAGGAGTAGGAAACCCTGCATCTTTTATGCCTGCAGAGAATTATCAAAAGCCTGATTCAAGTATCAAAAAAATGTTTGAAGCTAAGAGGAAAAAAAGTAATAATTATTTACTAAAGCTTTTTTTATGTTTACCCTCTGATGCTTCTACCAACAATTTCCAGCAAACTACCAGGAAGATGCTTGTTTCTTAGACACAATGGATTTTTTTTTCTGACTAAATGCATTTCTGAACTAAAAGCATACAAAGTTAATAAACGGAAGGAAAAACAAATACAGTGTTGTCATTTCTAAATTATATTCTTAAAAGGTTTAGGGGTATCATTTGTGGAACACAAAGAGATTTCCTTCTCTAACAGCATTCCAGGACATCACTCTTTCCTGCCTACCAGCAGACAAGATTATACTTGTCTGGAATGTCAGTGAAGTATTTATACAAAGGCAGTTTTTCAGAATCTTCTTATTGTGAACACAAAACAGGAAATACAGTAATACCATTGGTATACGTTAAACACTATTTAGTATAAACTGTGTTTCTCCCTTAATAAGTACTAGGTTAACCTCCAAGAGAAGGAGACGAAAATGAGCACATCTCTAAACATAAACCACTAGTTGTTTGCAGTCGGCCAGACCAAAGGTTCAGGGAAAAAAACTCAAACTAAGAATTTGCCACACTGTGCTTTAGTAAGCGTTACGCTACAGTCTCTAATAAAAACTCATTTTTCCCAAGTTCACAGGAGAAAATAAAAGTATTCTATAAAAGTTAACATATTATTGAATGAAAAACAACCTAATAATAATTTAATTGAAATACTGATTTGGAGGCAGAAAAGATAAATTTCTATGTAAAGGGGCCACCAATCAAAAACACCAAATAAACCATTTCACATTCTAAAAAATATTTTTCCATTTTTTTTCACTAAAAAAACCCCCCAAAACAAAGAAGTATTTACCTTCCATGAGTAAAAAAAAAAAAATTAATTCTACAAACCTACTACTGAAGAGTTTTAAACTTTATTTACAAATAGATTATAAAGTACAGCTGGTATCCCAAGTAATAATAGAATAAGTCTCACAGAGATAAATTTTAATTTTCCGTATGATAGCAAAATGAACTTTGGTTTGACTGCCCCCTGCTGATGTGAAATTTTCAGAACTACAAAAGTTGATTTGATAAAATTTTAATTTTTTAAACTGTTTTTACTCAGAAATTGGTTTCAATTTCTTATTGAAAACTAAGGAGATTTAAATATTTAAATAACCTCTGTGTCTTATTTTCACTCAATGGGCAAATATTTGTGGAATATCTATGACCTGACACATCAAAAATATGGTTTCATCTCTCTGACCCCAAAATACTTACAAGTTATTAGAGGGACAGGAAAAATCTGGAAAATAATAAACTATCAGAGAAAATCAAGAACTAAACTAAATGATACTGAAGAGAAGTAAGCTAGAGAGAGGGATTGGTAGGGCCAAATTAGTTTAAAAAACTTAATGAAAAAGTTAAGACTGAGGCAACTGAGAAAAAGTAATGAGGACATATAAAAGAGACAAAATAAGAAAAAGCCTGGAGCAAATAATGAACATAGAGTGCACAGAACACAGGACACCAGGAGATTTAATTTCCAGAATAAATGGACAAATGTTTCGTGAGAAAAGAAAACAGTGAGAGGTTGGGGCCCAACTTTTGAAACTAAAAAAGCCAGAATAAAGAGCTGGACTTGAGGCAAACAAGGAGCCACTGAAGCAGTATGATAACCTGGTAAAGCAGTATAATAAATGGGTAAAGCAGCATAATAACTTGGTTAAAGACAATCCTTTAGGAAGAGTTCCGTGAAATAGAACAAAGAGGAAACGGAGGAAGAAGAGCCTGCGGGCAGAGAAACTGGTGAAGAGACAACTATAATGAGCCAAGGAAAGAAGTCAACCAGAACGGAACAATGGGAATGGAAAAGAAAAATGGAATTGAGATACATTTTGAGTTAAAAACAAAACTGGGTGCCTGATTGGATTTAGATTTTTGTCTAATTCTTATGCCATATTAAGTGATTGCTCAATTCAACTGAAATAAAAGAGGAGTAGTGGACAAAGAGTTAACAGAAGGGAAAACTGTAGTGTCACTGAAGTTAATGGGATACAGAGTTTCAAGAAGATGTGAGTAGTCAGCGGGATCAAATTTGTGGAATTCAAAACAAATAAGAAGCCATTAAATTTTGTTTGGCAGCCAATGGTGACCCTCACATACTAAGTAGAGGAATTCACTTTAGGGAGGACACGTCCATCTTAACGTAGAGGAGAGGAGGAACATGTAAATAACAGGGCAGAGCTACGTTTATAGTTAAAGATGGGATGCATGAGGAATTTAATGGCAAATGGTCTCAACTATCTCTATAAATCAGTTTCGAAGTTCACTTCTCAAAAAAAGAATGATAGATTAATATTCAGAAAAAAACTTGGAAAATATTTGATGTCACTTTTCTACATCAGAGTCCAGTTTCTACTGGAGATATCCAGTCCCAAGGGATGGCTTCATCTAGCCAAGACTTCTCATTTTTCTATACCTGTCTACAAAAATCTGTGTGCTATTTTGTAAAAAAGTTCAAAGCTGACCCACTGATGACACTGCTTCCGACACATACAAATATAGTTTTTCCAAACATGGTTTACATGAAGACATCTGGAATGGAGCATGCAACTCAAAAATAGACCTTATTCACATGCTATAGGTAAAAGTGGTAATGGTAAGGCCTTATGGAAAAATAATGTCTTCTAAGATAAAAGTGCAGTTTTTAGAATCACCAAAACAAACAAACATGGGAAATCATAATTTCCGAATTTTATGTTACATTTTCTTTGTAAAGAAATTTCTCTTAAAAGAAGTATAATACCAAAGTTAGATTTCAGTTAAGTAATTTGCTTACAGAGCAAATTATGTGTAATGTTTCTGATCCAAGTTCACTACCTTGTGTCATTGTAATGTCACTTGTAAAAAAATGACCAGTGTAATGATAAAGTTTCCTCTTAAAACTCAAAAAATGATGCAGTAAACCTCAGGATATGCAGAGGTCTAATAACATATTATTTTATTGAAGAGGTCACCAATTGGTTTGAGGCAAGGTCTTATTCTTCATGACTAAATATTCTGAATATTACAATAAAATTGCTATGAGATGTTAACACTTATTGATACTTCCTAGAAAAGATTAAAAATCAGCAAGAATTCCTAAGTATTTGTACAATGAATAAAAGTGCTACACTGATTACATGTCTATATAATAGACCAAAGTAAGTTCTCTCTAAAGTTAAATAGGCAGAGATCTGATAATAACTTTTTCCTTTTAAATTGAAAAAGATTACATAAGTTCTTAAATAAAATTTTAGAAAAAGAAAAAAGAATTAACCATTTTTTTCTTCTTTGAATATTATCCTCTAGTCTTTATATACATGAATACATTTTATAGCAATAGTTATTTTAGATATTTCAAACAACTTTTGCAATTAAAAATGTCAGTTTTCCATTTTCAAACTCAAGTAAAGGGATTTTCCAAGGCAACTGCCTCCTGAAAAAGAAATAAAAGTTCCTCTGACAAGAGACTTAACTGCAAAAAAATAAAATAAAAAAATAAAGAGGTCAATTTTCAGAAAGTAAAATATATATGATAAAACAATAGGAATGACTATTTTAAATCTGAGGCATGCAAAGCAGATTTCGACATTGCATGTAGGACACATCTGGGTGAAGAGCAGAGGTGTATTTCAAAACACTACCCACAATGAATATGTTGTCTAACAAGTGTGTAATTGAAAAAATATAACATGGCCAAAATAACAGCTTTATACTATATTCATTAAAGCAGATGAATATAAATACAAGGAGATAGCCCTATGTATAGAAAGAACAGTTTACCAATACAATATCAAAAATCTTTCTTTCTGGTATTTTTCTTCATTAGCTATTATTGCATTAAACATCAAAAGTAGCAGTATTATGTTAAGAGGAGGATACTTAAATCAAATATATGTATCCCAGAGCAAATCTACCTCTTTCCTATCAGCATATCCTGAGGAACTATTTACCTGATTATCTAAATATTACCCTAGACACTAAAACAAGTAAGTTTTGAATATACAGACTAGAAAAAGAGGGTGCTGTGCGGACACGAGTGAGGCAACAAAACAACAAAAAACAAGTAGGAAATTGAAAGAGTACATTGGCCCCTCGGTCAGAAATGAAAAATATGGGGTGATGGTATCCCTGAGAGTGACAAAGCCAGTTTAAAGTAAAAAGCTAAATTTGCCCCCTAAAAAGTTTTGTAAACAGTCAGCCTTGAATATACTCATCTTTTAAGAACTTAGAAGGAAAAAGGTTATTATGCTCCAAGGGGATACAAAAAGGCCTGTGGAATTTGACTCAATTAAAATAGTCTATTTAGACAAGGTTACAGAACAAAGTATCTTGAATTTGACAGCAGTAACAATCCTCACTCACCAAGACTTATTTAGTCTTGCCTGAGGGACATGTTTAGGTCCTGTATATGATGACAGCACACATAATAAGAAAAATAATTTATGTATATATAAATTGAAAGGATGGTTAATTCTAATTATCAGTTTTATTGGTAAATAGTAATGAATAAAATGATATCATCATCACACCAAAGTCCTTTATTCATTATTAACACTTAATTATTATTGTCTTTTTTTGGTTTTTAAGGGTTTCTCTAGAAGTTATGTGGATAAAAGCAAGATAGAAAATGTCAGAAAAGATACAGGCAGAACTTTAAATATGAGCATTATGTTAATAACTCACTGTACAAATTCACATGCAATGAACTGTTTTCTCAGCAGGAGTGATTAATTTGCAGGGATCCATCCAAAGTCCCTTGACGAGTATTTGCAACAATTAAGACAAAACTGAAATGGCTGGTCAGGGTTGATGATAAATTCTGTGAGTTTGGAAGAGATGAAAATCACTGGTCACTACAAGGAAATATCCCATAATTACGGCCTCATTAACACAATACTATCTAAACTGAACCTTTATCTTTGTAATCTGGTCTAAAGCTCTCTAAGCCCCAGCACATCTAGCTCATCAATTCTACAGGAAATATTATGATTTTCAAGAATAAACAAGTTGCAAATGAAAGCCAAATGGGGAGTGAAGACAGATCTACCCTGCATACTACTCTATTGCATCTTAATTTTTTATGACTAAGAAGAGAAAGTGTGGAAAGTGGAAAGCAAAGTACATAATTTCCTAGACTCTTCAGAAAAGATCAAGGATACTTATTGCTTATCTCATCTCTCTCTGAAAGCCAAGGTTATGATCCTCAGGCTCCTCAAAGACAAGAACAAGAGACAAAAGGAGATGGAGTGAAATGGTAGAACAAATAAACTGTCTAAATGATACAAGAAATTTGCCCACACTCAGAATTACCTTTTCACTTTCAGCACTAGTCAATTGTAACTCTTCATTAATATTTCCTTCTTTCTAAGACACCCTGTCTTGATTTTTCCTTCAATATTTTTATAATTTCTTTAAGCAAAATCCCATATTGTTGAAGAAAGCCTCAAATATTTCTAATTTTAAAATTATAGAGACGTATTTTTCCCAACAAAGAGAAAACCTAGGTTATCAGCACCTAAAAATATCAAACACAAAATTAAAAAACTGTCTTTTTTAAAGGCGAAGGCAATATAAGAGAATTCTCAAGAAACAAAAAGAAAATACAAATTTACAGAGGCAAGCTAATGAAAAATAGCTAACTCTAGAGCAGTATATCTGAGTGTATCTGAGGATTCCTTGTGGTCCAGAAATTAATGAATCCCATATATCTGTGAAAGTTAAAAAAAAAAAAAAACAAAATCAAGGGCCTGGCCTTGGTGGATGGTTGAATCAGAGGGAGCACATAGAGAAGTGACTCCCAAATGGGACATCTTAAATAGGTCAACACTGCCTAACCCAGCCTACAGAATATGGCACCACAGCCTTAGATCTTGGTAAAAGAGAAGTAAAGAAAAAAAAGACTCTCCATAGAATTGATAATCATGAGTCTTAAGACTACACACATAGCCCCCAAAACCTCAAACTAAAAATTTAGTTTAAATTGGTCCTGGACACCCCAGTAGCTATAAGCACACTTAATGTGCAGAACCTGGCTTCTAAATACCATTCTCCATCAAAACGAATCAGGGCCCCTTGAGAAGTGGCTGATTTCAGGACTGGAGCAGGGAAAGTATATTATTAGTCCAGGACACATCGTGCCAGAAAGAACATATAAAAGAATGATGGAGATATAGCAAAAGGGTATGGCAGCTAGAAGTTGCTCCAAGTGGCCTAAATTGGGACAATGTGAACATCAAGATAAATAATGATAGTAAAGGATTAAAACTCACTGAATAAAGTAAGAATTCAAAAGTCCATAGTGATAAAAACAAGGAAAAAGGGAACATTCTTCCACATAGTAGAAAGCCAATCAATAGACAGAAAAATGATGTAATGAGAAAAACCACCATTTGGCAACCATTGTAATAATAACTGGTTCAGGCAAGAAGCATCAATGGATTCTAAAACTAGTGGTCAAAGTCTGAGTTGTACTAGAGTATTTAAACAATCTTACAATATACCTCAACAAGATACTTATAAACTATAATGGAAAAATAGTAACTTTACAGTAAAGAAACCTGGAAGACACCACCTTAACCACGTGATCAATGATAACATCACTAGTAATGACATTATACAAATCAAAGTCATGTGCCTCCTGATATAAGAAGAACATACATGTGATATTCCTGTCAAAATGCATAACCTGAATCTACTCATGAAGAAACAGTACAAAAATCTAAATGGAGGAACATTCTATAAAATAATTGTCTCATACTTGTGAAAACTGTCAAAATCATGAAGGATAAAGACAGAGGAACTATTTCAAATTAAATGAGAATAAAGAGATATAACAACTCAATGCTGTACATGATACTGCATTTTCTTTTCTACAGAGGATATTATTAGGATAATTAACAAAATGTGAGGATCTATACATTCGATAACATTATTATGTCAGCATCAGTTTCCTGATTTTTATCAATGAATTGTGATTTTGTATGAGAATGGCCTTGGTTTTGAGGGAGCACACATATAAGTATTTATGGTCAAAAGGCACTGTACCTGTAACATTCTTTCAAATGGTTAAGAAAAAATACAAAAATACGGGTAGACAGAAAATAGACAAATTAAATGTGGAAAATGTTAACAATTGGGAAGCTTGGGTTAAAGATATAAGGGAATTTGTCGCAAAATTACTATAACTGTTCTGTAAGTCTGAAATAATGTCATAAATAAAAAAGTTTTTTTGTTTTTTGTTTTGTTTTTAAGTTTTTTGTTCGGTTGATAGTGTCTCTAGGTCCCTTGCAGAATAAAAACAAACTCTGGGTAGTAAAAAAAAAAAAAATGTTAAGTTCAGATCTCAAAAAATAAACTTTCAAGAAACATGAGCTAACAATAAAAATTGACACACACATTACAAAACAGAGGAAATACACCACCAAAGAACCAGTTATTATAAAACACAGAATCAGATCTACAAAGACTGAATATATTGGAATTTTTTGGAAACTGAATATAAAATGACTATATTTAATATGCTTAAAGAAATAAAATGGAACTAAAAGCATAATAATGGATAAATAAGATACAGTGACAAATGAAAACTAAAAGGTAGAAGTCCCTAGTTATCTATTTTTAACAAGCTGTAAAAATATGTATGGTAGAGAAGAAAGGCCAAGGCGATGGACTTTCAAGTCAGACAATCTGGTTCCATCACATACTTTTCATGTAACCTTGATCGAATTATTTAACCTCTATGCCTCACTTTATTTATCTGTAAAATAGGATTAAGAGTACCTCCTCATATGACTGCTATAAGGACTAAGTGAGTGGGCTAATTTATACAAAGAATTTAAAACAGCATCAGCACATAAAAAATCTTCAATTAACACTGTAGTATTAATGGTAGTGGTAGTGTTTTTCAGAAATATATCCACACCCAAAATTCTTAAAGTCTCTTATTATCAGAAATAAAATATTTCTGGATCAGGATATAGTAGGATATAGCAGGATCAGTATTATTAACATAACAAATAAAAAACTTAATAATATTATGTGTTAGGCAGAAGCCTCTCTGAATCCTCTCAAAAACTTTCTTACCTAACATTTCTATTCCTCACAATTGAAACAGACCAGGCTATTCTTCCTAAGCTACTTCTACTCTTCAACCCATTCAGGTTACCTTATCTAAATATACAGCCTTTCCTCAGACTGAGCATCTATAATGTTATTCATTGAAATACTGAGTTGGGAGCACAGGTAGCTTTAACTATGCTGCCTTAATGCAATGCACACTGTCACTGAACACTGGAACTATAAAGGACCTTAGACATCATCTAGTACACTTTTTCTGGAAGAGTAGAGTGCCTAAAACAACCTGAGATGCTTTTAGATAATACATGGATACTATACTAAATAAATAACATCAAAAATTTATTCCCTTTCAATTTTCACATAAGTTTAATTTTTAAACTTCTTTAGAGATAACTTCAAATTCACATTAAAGTTGCAAGAATAAGAATAGTACAAAGAACTCCCATGTAACCTTTACTCAAATTCATCTATTATTAACATTTTACCCTTCTGCCTTATCTCTGCTCTCTTGTTCTAGTGTGCTGTGGGTTTTTGTAGTTGTTTGCTTTTGTTTTTTTGAACCATCTGAGAACAGGCTGCATACATCATGGTCCTTTACCAAATAAGAAAGTTTCCATTTACTGGCATGCTTTTCACATCTCTCTAAACAACTGCAAATCTTGTTTTACTCAGAGCCCTCTGCAAAGGTCATATTTAACTTTTGCTTCATAGCACTGCTTTATTTGCATTGTGTTTATTTTTTACTGTTGTTTTTATTTATAGTAAGTGCTCCTTTTAGGGAGATATAAATTGTCCTTAAGTGTTTAATATGTCAACTGAAGAAAAATATAAAGCAAATAGCAGTAAGGTGCTGCAGTAAGGCGAATATGGCAAATTCACGGTGATGCATGGGGGAATACAAAACTTAGAAAATACTCAACTAGTCTCAGTATCTTTTTTCAAAATGAGAGTACGCTGCTGGCTGGGCAAGAGCATAATACAGATGTCTAGCCCAGTCAGGCACTCATGCTAAGTAAGTGAGTTAGAACTTAAGAGTTCAGGCTTCCTTTAGGTCACTTCTCTTTCAATTTCATCACAGAGGAATATCACAAAAAGTCTTAATTTTCCAATACACAATAGTGCTTGTGATGACGGGTTAAACATCCCTGGCTGGTAAATTTACCCTCTGCTATGCCTCACTTCCCCTTCCTTGCCTAACTTTTGCTCTCTTGTTCTGGTTGCATACCAACAGGCAGTTGGGTCTATTCCCATACTACCTCTTTTCCTTTCTATAGTCTATTCAATATATATTAACTGAGCACTTAATTTGTCTAGACATACCTAAAGAGTGAAACATCAGTGAATAAAACACAGTTTTAAAATCCTGAATCAAAAATTCTAGCTTAACAATTATTTAATATTAAAGTAACATTATGTAAATAAATATTACATAAGCCAATAAAATATGACTGTTAAAAGAACATTACTATTTCTGGGAAAACCAAGGTAAATGCTTCAAGAAAATTCAATAAAGGTGAGTAACTAAAGTAACTGTTAATTTGGTGTAAACAGAACATCTGTAAAAGAATAGGGACACTCAGAGTGTCCTAAGTTTTCACTCTATAAAAGCCAAACACTGAAATCAATAAATGAAGTTTAGATCGGAGATATCATGGAACTCCAAATCAGTGGACTATTCTCAAAGAAAAGCATTTTCCCTTAAAAAAAATGAACAGGAAATTAATGAGTATCTAAATGTTTTGT